CCTAACTGTCCCCTATTCTATTAGAAAGATCTAAGAGTTTAGATGCTTTATCCATTCGGTGTTCCTTATATTTTCTCATGGTTAACGTTCCAAAATTAATTCGAAAAAATGTCGGAGCGTTGGCTAAAGGACGTGGCTAGCTCCACTATCACTAGTGGGAGGCCGAAACACATTGTACCCCAGGCCAGGCCCCTGCTCGACCCTTGCCTGTATGGCAGTAGCTGAAAAAGGGGGACTAACTGTTGCATTGGACAGATTAATCGATAAGTTCAAAGTTATCTAATTTGAGAGATTTTTAGTTCAAAAATATGGTTCGTCGCCTGATCGACATTGCCGAGCACTCTATCAATAAAGGAGTTCGATTAATGATTGATGCTGAACAGACCTACTTCCAACCAGCCATCTCAAGGATTACACTGGAGATGATGAGAAGGTATGAAAGGATGTCGTTCGGCTATTTCGGCTTTGGGGAGGGCATATTGCACTTTCGCTACTTTCCCATCGAGACGCTCATTGCTCTACAAGAGCTGACAGTTATCAGCTGTACAGTGTCCCCTCCCCAGAAGCCGAACTGCGCCTGTGGTTTCTTTTGCTTTTTCTATTTTCTTTTTGTTTCTATTTTATATTTCGTATTTGGGGGCAATAAATGAGAATATTGCACTTTCTGGCGACTTTGAGGCGACCTTATATGCCGCCCCTCCTCGCGCCGTCCGCCTCACAGCTCGGCATCAAACTTTGGAGAATTAGGTAAGGAGAAATGTACGGCTGTGAAAGACAGGGATTTCTTTCGAGTACTTCGTCGTACCCTCCGCAACGTGAACATTGATGGTCAGCGTCGTGTGCAACATGTCGTTTTTGTCCCCGGCGTATGTATAGGAATCATTCTTCAGAGACTTATTGTTGCCCACAGTCCCGATCTTGTGTGTCCCTGATGAGGCCGCCCTTTTCTATTAGGTTGTCCGGAAAGTTCTCAGCGTTTTGTGCACCTATTTTTTGTACATTCACTGCTGATTAAAACTCATTCTGCCTTGCTTCTCAGTAGCACATCCTGTAGAGAATTTCTTGCGCTATCTGATGGTATAACTTCACCATTTCCTGATAATCCATCTTTTTTTCAAGATTTTTTCAAGCCATGTGAAAAGAGCACTTCGGACGATTTTTTTCTTCGACTCTAAATTGGAATCCGCAATCGAAACAGCTCAACAAATTAACCAGTGTGGGCCCAATAGTGCTAAAGAAAGCACTGTGCGGCAATGGCTCAATAAATTTCGCTCTGGAGATTTCAGCCTTGAAGGTGAGCCTCATAGCGGTCGACCTAAAGCAATATCTGACGAGGATTTTAGGGGGATTTTGGAGGCTGACCCATCCCAAACAGTTCGAGAGATAGCAGAAGAGCTAGGCGTTGGCAAATCCACTGTTGCAGATGGTCTGGAACGCATTGGGAAGGTGAAAAAACTCGACAATTGGGTGCCCCACAATCGGAGTGACCGGCAGGAATCGGCACGTCTCGAGGTTCCTTCTGCATTGCTTTTGCGCAGCAGAAACGACCTGTTTTGGACCGAATTGTCACCTGTGATGAAAAATGGGTCATGTATGATAACAGGAGACGTTCCGGACAGTGGTTGGATTTCGACGAACCACCGAGGTAATTTTCAAAGCCGAACCCTCACGAAAAAAAGATTCTGGTCACGGCTTGGTGGTCATCGGCTGGTGTGATCCACTATAACTTTTTATCACCAGGCCAAACCATCACTAAATCGACGAATTGTACCGAAAATTTTGTCAGATGCAGCCAACACTTATCAAAAGAAAGGGTCCGATTCCTTTGCATGACAACGCCCGCCCACACGTTTCACAAATCACTATCCATAAATTGAACGAATTGGGGGTTGAAGTTCTACCTCAACCGCCATATTCTTCAGACCTTTCGCCAATCGACTATCACCTTTTCTAACATTTTCAGAACTCCCTTGCTGGAAAATACTTCATCAATCAGGACCAGGCAAAAAAGCCTTAGTGGATTTCGTGAATTTTCGACCACCCAGTTTTTTACTTTGATGGGATTTCTCGACTGCTGTCACATTGGCAAAAGTGTGCTGATTCGAATGGTGCCTATTTCGATTAAATCCGATGAGTATTAAAAAAGTTACGATCGTTTAAAGTGAAACACCCAAAACGCTGAGAACTTTCCGGACAACCTAATATTTCAGCTGTGAGCGGCAGCACCGTTTTAAAAACTACACAGGGTTTGCCTGGCTCTTGCACGCCCACAACTAATTGTGGAGTTGTGGCGCTCCAATTTCCGCTTTTGAAAATTGAAAATCCCCTTTCGTTCCTATCATAATTTGTCTGCAGTCGTTCATTCATTTTAGGTACAACCGAGAGCGTGGAAACATTTTTAACACGTATCAGGCCTATCTTCGAAATGCGTTGGATTGCTTGGAATGTGACATGCAGCTGGCAGAAAGAGAGAAGGATGGCATTTTCGTTTTGAAGCTCGTCAGAGGGGCTTAATATGCAGCAGTTGGCTTGCTTGTAGACTATTCAAGATCACCTGTTATGCTGGGTCGTTCCAGATTAGAGGTTCTTATTCGTCGCTGGGAGATGAGAGGTTCGTTACTAGATCTGAAGGATTTTTTCTATAGATGGTTTTTTTCTGCGGTTCATAGGCGTCTGGATTCTTGCACTGGCGGCAGGATCGTATCAGTCTCGACGTTTTGCGTTATTAAACCTCATATCCACCAAGACATTCTGTGGCAGCTGCTCTTTGAAACAATGTGACCGGTAAGGTTTGTGGCGTGGCGCCAGGCTTCTGGAGCAAAGACGTCTGCATTGGCGCCACAGCCCTGGGGGCACCCAATTTTCATATGAACACGGACATCCATTGATTCCGCCCGACTCTGATGTGTTAATCGCCCGCAGTTGGTTGGACCACACCCCCTCCCTTTAGACTAACCCCCGTCTCCTCCTCTCGGGACAATCATCGTTCCCTAGCAAAATCAACGATTGAGGTTCTGATAGAAATGCGGCCCAAACTTCGTCTGGGGAATAGGGGTCGAGTGCCGAGGCTTACTCCGCTGCTTTGCTATGGAAGTTATTGGGCGCCTCCATGATGGAAAGTTCTCTCCATAGAGAACTGGAGGAACAGTCTGTGATTACATGGACCAGAGGCGCTCCACATGCCCGTCAATGCATTTGTCAGTAGCTAGACTTCTGAAAGCCACACCAAGGTGACCCTTTCGAGCTGTAAACGCTAATTATTAAGAAGAACTTGACCCTCGAGCGTAACTCCTCTCAGTGCCCTACAAGTGTTCCGAACTACAAATGTAATTTTCAGGAGCGGAAACGAGCAGCCACTATCGGCTACCCGGATCCTATCAATCCAGACTTTGAGGTGAGGATAAGCCTTATGGTTAGCAGTTGTCACGTATACTATGAGGTCGTTTCATTTGAAAGCGTGATAGGTTTCAATCAAATAAAACGAAGACCAATAGGGATAAAAAATATTTTGGTTCAACGTCAAGTAGGTTCTGCTTTCGTATATGACTCGTTCCCATGGTCCAGCAACTGTATGGACCCCAGGCGACATTATTTGTTCAACATGTGCGAATGAGATGCTTTTGATTCCAGTTTTGGGTCACCGTAGCATTTTCTCTGAGCTGTGTCTTCAACTGGCCGGAACAGCTGAAATCGCGCAGCTGTAAGCCGGGCGAATAAGGCGACTGAACCCTGGTCTCAGTATGCGACTGGTTCGAATTTGAGCACTCAGTTTGCCTAACCTTTGGGTCTCTTTGGTACTCTTCGCGGTCATTCTTTCCTTTCAGTGTAGACAGAGTAGCACTCCCATTTCCAAATGTGAACACAGCTTGAGCACTCGGAACCGAGCAGAACCTGCCTTCATACGAAACATCACTGATTCCAGGCGACTACAAACATGTACCACGCTTGTTTGAAACGAGTAGCTGAAGAGAATGTGCGTCGCGGAAAAGGCGCCGTTTCCGTCATGATTGCCAGTCACAACGAGGACAGTGTCAGGTAGGATATACCGTAGTTGGTTGGTAACAGCACGATTTTAAACAGGCACGATTTTCATGGTTTCAGATTTGCTGTCAACCTCATGAAGGACCATGGAATCGCTCCTAGCGAAAGAATTATGTGCTTCGCACAACTCTATGGAATGTGTGATCAGGTCTGTTTCCATGGAATCGATAGGAACAGGACAGGTCGTAGATTGGGGATTCCCAGCTAGAAGAGAGATCGTACTTGGTCGCTGGAGGGAGAGGGAC